GCAGGAATGTCTTTGCATATTAGGCCATACACCCCTAATGTAGCCAATCCTCTAAGAGCTTACAGTAGCCCCTGTAAGAAGAGCTCTGTAAGGCAAGAATGATTTATGCACAATTTTGGAAAAATGAAAAAGTACCAGAGACCGAAGACTGGATACAAAAAGTTCTATTCATGGCTGAAATGGATAAAATTACAAAAAAACTGAATAACAAGGAAGACGACGTATTTTTGGAAGAATGGAGTGACTTTAAAATATACCTGGAAAAGAACTGGGATGTAAAACAAAATTTAATATGTTTAGAACAATATTAGGTTAATTGATGTTATCTGGAGACAGTAGTGATAAGAAAAATGATTTAACTGATGATGTATTACAATGTGGGTGGAAGGGTGGAAGCATTGCGGGAAGCCACAGGAGGAAGGGGAGGTAAGGGGAACGGGGTAAATGAAGGGAAAATGAAAATGAGTATTGTTGGATGTTAAGTTCCTATTGAAAATAAAAAGTTTGTTTACCAAAAAAATATATATCACCATAATGGGTATGCAGTCAGTAACAGTTATTATAAGCAGCTGTCAGGCCCCCATGATATATTACTACAGGCACAGCACAGGGAGCCAATGATGATTTCCAGGGTGCAAGCTCCTAAGTCTATGACGGGCTATTTAATTAAATTAAATGCGACTCCTCAGTCAAATGCCTGGTGGAAGAGCTCCATCTTGCAGGCCCTGCAGAATTGTAATAAATCCCGCAGGGCCCTGATGTTTTCAGGGAGCTCATTCCACCAGCATGGAGCCACCGCAGAAAAAGCCCTTGCCCTGGTCATAGCCAGGCTGGCATCTTTAGGGCCAGGGAGAACCAGATTTTGTGACCCTGAACATAGTACTCTCTGGGGAACATGTGGGGAAAGATGGTCCCTCAGGTATGCAGGCCCCTGACCATAAAGGACTTTATAGGTAAGAACCAGCACCCTGAAGGGAATTCTGTATGCTATAAGCAGCCAATGCAACACTTTCAGTGCAAGCTGGATGTGCTCCTGCAAGGAGAGACCCAACTAGAGCCTGGCCATTGCATTCTGCACCAGCTGTAGCTTCCGGATTTAGGACAAGGGCAGCCCCATGTAGAGAGCATTACAGTAGTCTAGTCTTGAGGTGACCATTGCATGGGTCACTGTTGCCAAGCCACTGGGTTTGAGGAAAGGAACCAGCTGCCTAAGCAGCTGAAGATGGTAAAAGGCTGACTTAGTAGTGGCTGCTACCTGGGCATCCATCATTAATCCATCATATGGCATTGCATCCAAGAGCACTCCCAAGTTCCTAACCGCTGACGATGGCACCAGTGGCGCCCCAGAGAAGGATGGGAGTGAGTCCCCTAATCCCAGACCACTATGACTTAACTACAGGGCCTCCATCTTCGTTGGATTCAATTTCAGTCGGCTCAGTCTCCTTGATCTGATGGGTATATATGTGAGTGTTGTGTGTAAAAGAGATGGCTCCACAATGGATCATCCTGTGCTGTAGATTCCATTACCACAATCCAGCTTTGGTGCACATAAATTCACAGAAATCACTCTGTGCTGGATGGCAGCCAGTTAAGAGTGAAGAGGCTGCAACTCTAGAATCCGTCGGCCCACACAAAATGACTATTCATGCCCTCCCATCTGGTGGATCCCGATTTCTATGTGCATGGAGGCTAGATAAGCATATGGTATTGCATCAGACGGCACTACCGACACAGCCAGGTGTCTGCTCTGCAGGTATTCACCAAGGCGTGAAACCTCACCTGGATTCCCAAGCTCTTCAGTCTCGCTGCACAAAGATTCATATCAAAACGGGGAGGCGAGCAGGCCTTGCGAGCAGACAGGACCATGAGGACTTGACCGTTGAGAAGTTCTGGGAAGCGTCAGTAAAGGAGACTCAGCATCAAGATAACAGAAGTAGTCAGTGTCTCATAGCCCAATGGAGGTGGAGGATTTAATCCTCCAGTGACAGAAACCACCCCCCTACCAAAAAAAAGCTGACTGCTATTGTGGTGAATAGTTCACTTGGCCCACTGGTCCCTGACAGTGCTTGGTATCTGTGTTCCCTCTAAGCTGAGTTAGTGTGAGCTAGCTCACAGTTTTTTAGCCTCCTGCTCACACATTTTTGTTTTAGCTCAAAAAGGATGGCTCCAGAGCAAACTAATTTATGCAGTAACCAAATCACTTCCTCACAACTTTAACGCCAGTAGCTCACGAAGTAGAATTTTTGCTCACAAGACTCCACAGTTTACAGGGAGCATTGCTTGGTACTATACTGGCCACTCCTTCTCTCGTGTTTTCACTGCACACATTTCTATCCCATCTTTCTCTTAAGGAGTTCAGAGTGGTATAAATGGATGGAAATATCCAGTTGTTGTTGTTGTTGTTGTCGTCCCCTACCACCTTTTGAGAACCTTGTGATGTAGGTTAAGCAAAAGTGAGCCGCCCGAGGACAACCACTAATCTTCATTGCCCAAGGAAAAGGAATTCCATTAATCCATGTCGAACCACCACACCACTCAGGCTGTCGAGATTCTTGAGCCAAATCCAGCCCACACAAAGATACTTCCCAAACTATTAACTCCCTGTAATGTATTCAGAAGCTGCCCTGAATGCATTAAGATGAACGTGAAATCATCTCATAGGGAAGCTATGCTAAGCTTTGTCTTGGCCGGGGATTCGCGCCAAGACTCATGCGATCAATCACATTCAAACAGACGGGAAGCGGGAACGCTTGTGATTGGACTTAATGCGTTCAACCTGATAGGTTGATATCTGTATAGGAGGTGTGGCTACATTAGCCCGGAATGTTTAAATACCGAGCAGCTGCAATGGAGAAGCTGTTCGGGCTATCGAATGTTGTACCGTGTTGGAGAAGTGATCATCGAGCTGAATAAACCTGAGTTTTGCTGAAATCACTCTCTGACTATTTGTTAAGCACCAGACTTAACACTCCCACAGTTTCAAAACTCCAACCTTGAACTCAGACCTGGCTTACAGTAGCCACCAGTGGGCTGGGGGGGGGGGAATAGAAAACTACAAATCTCAATAATCCTGTCAGGAAATGCTGGTCTTGAGCATACTCACAAGACCCCACAGCTTAGAGGGAACGCTGGTCACCACTATGGGTACCTCCACATTTTTGGAAGGGTGAATTCGCTCAGAAGGGGCTGACCGTCAGGGATGGCGTGGGTGGAGCTGATCTCCCCTGCCTTTTACAAGTTATCTCAGGAAAAGCTTAGAAAGACCCACATTTTTCACCACAAATTCTCTGAGAATTTTTTTTAATGTATTCTGAGATGAGCTGGAGCAGAAGCAGGGGTGGCCAAACCGCGGCTCGGGAGCTACATGCGGCTCTTTCACACACATTGTGCGGCTCCCAAAAAGGCAGCTGGGGAAGCGAGGGCGGGGTCATACTTTTTCTCCCTCCCATCTATTTGCTTTCTTTGTTTCTCTCTCTCTCTTTCTTTCCACCTCTCTCTTTCTCTCTCTCTCTTAGACAAATAAATATCATTACCAAACAAATAAATATAATTGGACAGATAAATATCATTATCAATATCTGTTTTTACCCTATTTGTTTTTATTTTGGCAGTCTCATTTAATGTTAATAAATAAGCAAATTTGCATATTTTAAAATAAAAACGTGACTGTAATATTTGTTCATGTCTTGCGGCTCTCAAACAGCTGACATTTATTCTATGTGGCTGTTACGTTAAGCGAGTTTGGCCACCCCTGAGCTGGAGGAACAGGGTTCCTGACCACTGCAAGAAAGAAGCAAATGTAGCTTTAGGACTTGCAAGCAAAGAACTTTGAGGGTGGGAGGCAGAGAGTTTTGCCTGCTCTGGGCTGAGAAATACCTTGAGATTTTCAGGCTGGAGATTGAGGAGGGCAGGGTTTGGGGCGGCGAAGGATATAATGCCATCGAGTCTGCCTTTCAAAGCAGCCATTTTCTCCATGTGAACTGATCTCTGATGCCTGGAGATCAGTTGTAATAGCGGGAGATCTCCAGCCAACTCCTGGAGGTTGGCAACCCTAGTGATAGAGGCAAAGCACCACCACCTCCAGTTCCTTCCCAGATGGCTCCCCCAGAAAAACAGTTGCTGGCCGAAGTAAGATGAATCAAGGTGCACCAAGAGAATGGTAGTAATTTGGAGTTGTAAAGGGCAGTATTTAGGCCTTACTAGGCATCTACCAAGGAGCTGCGGTGGCTCAAGTGGTTAAGACGCTGAACTGCAGGCTGTTCAAGACCCGGGTGCCACATGATGGAGTGAGCTCCCATCTCTAGTTCCAGCTCCTGCCAACCTAGCAGTTCGAACGCAAGAAATTGCAAGTAGATAAATAGGGACCACTTCAGTGGGAAGGTAACAGCGTTCCGAGCGCCTTGGTGTTTAGTCATGCCGGCCACATGACCACGGAAACGTCTTTGGACAGCGCTGGCTCTTCGGCTTTGAAGCGGAGATGAGCACCGCAACCCTAGAGTCGGACTCGACTGGCTTTCGAGCAAGGGAACTTTTACCTTTACTTTAGGCATCTACCATGCTGGAACTATTATTTTCAGTTATGGCCATCCCTGATCCAGCAGGAAAAGCAACCTATATCTTGGCTCCCTCCTTCCTGGAAGGGCTTTTCGTGCAATGTTTTGTTTTTACTAGGCTGTCAACTTGTTTTTGGTGGCTACCAAGGTAGCTAGGTTGACAGGAGCTGGAACTAGAGATGGGAGCTCACTCTGTCATGCGGCATCCGGGTCTCGAACTGCTGAACATACATAAAATAAGCACAAAGTCAGAAGACCGTAAGAAGAGGCCTACTGGATCTTGCCTGGGTTCCATCCAGTTCAGCATCATGCTTCCCACACTGGCCAACAAGATGCCCCAGGTAGCCACAAAGCAGAAGGCAACGTCCCTTCCCTGCATTTGTGCTTCCCCCCAAATTCCCACATATTCAGAGGTACACTGCCACTAGACAGAGAGGTTCCACTACAATGGCTCTCTGGATTTGCCTTTAAAAGCCCTCTAATCCAATCTCTACAGCAGCCAACTCCATCATTCAGTGTTGCGTGAGGAAGTTCTGCTTCTCCTCTATTCTGAACGTCCTGCCCTTCGTTGCTTATACCGTGTGCCCCCTAGTATTACTGGGACGAGAGACAACATTTTCTTTCTCCACATCCTCCCCATGTGTCATTTTTAAAATTTTGTATGCCAGCTCCAGCAATTCCCTGTGATGAGGGAAATGGGTCTCTTCCTTAGCTCAGTTCTACCTTTCAGTTTATTATTCCTCCCCCCCCCCCATAACCGGCAGAGCAAGTCATTCACTTTACCTTCCCTCCGGTGAGCAGAGTGGTCCTCTGTTTGACTCCAGCAGAACGAGACTGAGAAAGGCAACTCGTCTTTTTTGTCTGTCCCCACTTCATTTTTACCAGGGGCCATAGCGATTCAAAGGTTCCCTTCAAAACTCCTGGTATCATACAGAGGTAGATCCAACCCTCAGGGTTTGCATTTCCCTACTCTCCGTTTCTGAAAAAGAAAGAAAGCTGATTGTGTCACTTCCTCCCCATCCCAGAAGCGATAAGGAGAAGTCAGAAATGGCAGAAATCCCCAAAAGGAAGCAAAGTCCAGGTACTTCAGGGCCCTCCAGCAGCCCGATCCGAAAATTCTGCCAGCGTGTTTCTCTTCTTCTTTTCTTCTCTTCTCCACACAGCCTCTTTGAGTCATTCTTTGAAGCAATGTTATGCTCAGAACAGCAATGGGTGGGGCAAAATTTGGCCAGGAGCCCATTGATGTATGCGAGATAGGCCTCAGGACTGCCAACTTTGGAAAATTCAGAGGATTTCTAAACAGGTGAGGACTTTCCTGTTCCTTTGTGCGTCTTTTCACCACAGCTGTTCGTTTTAGGGTTGCCAGGTCTGAGTTGGAAAATACCTGGAGACTTTGGGGGTGGATCCGGGAGAGGGTGGGGTTTGGGGAGGGGAGGGGAGGGGCCTCAGCATGGTACAGTGCCATAGAGTCCACCCTTCAGAGCAGCCATTTTCCCCAGGGGAGCTGATCTGTCCAGTGAGGCCAGGTGAGCTGCCTGTCCAGTGTAGAAGGGGGAGGGGGAGGAGTATTAGAAGCCACTGTGGAGGCGAGGCTGGCAGGATCACTAAGGCATTACTGCTGGGGCAGTAACTCCCTCCTGGCTTTAAGCACCCTGCAACTGCTGCTGCCCCTGACAGACAACTGTCTGTCAGGTGTAGGGGATCTTCACTGTCAGAATTCCAAAAGTGCTTGCAGGTCTCAAAACGATTGGGGGAAGCCCGACCTAAACCTTGGTTAATGGCCCATTGCGAGGCAGAATGGGAAACTGTGGCTGTCATTTATTTATTTATTTATCTATTAAATTTATTACATTTATACCCCGCCCTCCTGGCCATGGCCGGCTCAGGGCGGCTTACAATAGGATAAAAACAACAATAAATGGTATAATAATCATAAAACCATGTAACAATTACAACATTAAAAGGTGCTAACAATTAAACAGAATAAGTTCAGCATTACATTTGGGATGGCGCTCAGACTTCCGTGCCATCCTGGTGGTCGATCGCGATCTAATATAGCGCGGGTGGCTCAGGCTGACTCAAAGATTTCAGGCGACAGGGCATTCTCCCGGGGCAGCTCCTAATTGAACGCCTGGTGGAACAGTTCTGTCTTGCAGGCCCTGCAGAACTGCATAAGGTCCCACAGGGTCCTGATCTCCTCCGGGAGCTTGTTCCACCAGAGCGGAGCCGCCACCGAGAAAGCCCTGGCCCTGGTTGAAGCTAGCCTGGTATCCTTTGGTTCGGGAAGGTTGAGTTGGTGTTGGACCCTGATCGCAGTGCTCTCTGGGGGACATGTGGGGAAAGGCATGTAGGTCCATGACCATTGGTTTGAAGCCCTGCAAACCTGCTTGCCAGGAGCAAATGCCCCTTGGCTTTTCAGCGTTCCGGGATGCCCGGAGGCACACAGATTGTCCTCCACAAGTTGCGGCGTACATGAGGGAAGACCCTGACATTGCACTGAGTTTTGGGAAAACAGAGAGCTCGGAGCTACTTGGGGCCACCCTCTCCCCTCTCCTATGCTGCAGGGGGTTTGTTTTCTCTCTCTGACTCTCATTGAGCTTTGGACCAGCAAAACCATTGGGTGAGACTTGAGCCGTGTGTGCCTGCTTGGTACAGCTGTCGAATGTGTGATTCTCCTTGTGCATGTGTGGAGGTCGTGGTGGGGAGGGGTCAGTGCTTGACAGCAAATTTTGATCGGCTAGTAAGCCAGGCTACAGACTTGCAGACCCCCATCGTTAACTGTGGACAAGAGTTTAGTTTGCACTGAGCACACCAATGTTAAGGCAGTCTACCTGCCTTTTCAGCCTCTCTGCTTTCAAGGTGACAAGCAGATTTCACGGGTGACCGTCTGCATTTGCCCTCCAGTGACAAAGGTTAGCTGGGCAAATGAAATCATGCCTTCACTGGATGTTCAGGGGTTTAGTATTAAAGCACCAAACAAGGTCTGGGCGCTGTAACTGCAGTAGTCTGCATACATCCGGGCAAGCCCCTCCACGAGTTTTCCATGTGCTGCTTAATGGATCCAGTTAAGGATGTGTCAAAGTAACAGGCATTTTGTCTGACTTTCCCCTCCCACTTCACACTGTCTTGAATAAAGATCCTCTGCCTTTTCCAGGTTTTCTGTAAATCTAGCACAAGAGGGCAGCATGATCTATTTTATTCTGCTTTTAGCTCTGCAGCAAATTCACTGGAAGCGGCAATAGTTTCCCGTGACTATTTTTAGTGGCAGCGTTTTAGAATGACTAATTCTTCAAACAATTTATTAGGTGACAAAGAAATACAGTTTACAGCTTAAATGCGTGCAGGTAAAAATGGGCTTGCAACCTGTTCTTAGTCCTTGGCTGCCTTGCCTCCCTGAAGATTTGTGTCGGGGGGTAACACTGTATTTTCTGTTGACTTAACAAATTAAAGCCCCAATCCTGAGAATGCTGATTTGGGAAGTAGAGCCTATTGTGCTCAGCGGGACTGATTTCCAAATAAATATGTGTAAGTTCGAATTCTGAGTTGTCGTTTATTTTTATCATCTGTTTGCGTTGGCTGAGAGTGGAAGCATTTCTGAAACGCCAGTGGTGCAGGGAATGAATGGAGAAATAGTTCAGGATTGTGCTGCTAGTGGGAGTTTATGGGCTACAGACCACTGCGCTGGGATGTAAACAGGGCTCCCTTGTGAGCAAAGATTCTACTTTGCGAGCTGCTGTCATTAAAGTTGTGAGTGAACGATTTGGCTACTCCTGAGCGAAGACAAAAAAAAAAGTGAGCTGGAGGCTAAATAACTGTGAGCTAGCTCACACTAACTCAGCTTAGAGGGAACACTGGATGCGAACCTTGCCGATACCTTGCCTACATGGAGTACTGTGTGCCGTAGGCACTGGAGAGAGAGAAAACGAACACAGAAAAGATTGCGTAGTAGTCCGTCTCCATTATTTTGACGGGAAAGTGCATCAAGAAACAGGATGCCAACAGAAGAGAGAGAGAGAGAGAGTGTGTGTGTGTGTAAAGGTAAAGGTTCCCTTGCTCGAAAGCCAGTCGAGTCCGACTCTAGGGTTGCGGTGCTCATCTCCGTTTCAAAGCCGAAGAGCCAGCGCTGCCCGAAGACGTTTCCGTGGTCATGTGGCCGGCATGACTAAACACCAAGGTGCACGGAACGCTGTTACCTTCCCACTTAAGTGGTCCCTATTTATCTACTTGCAATTTCTTGCGTTCGAATTGCTAGGTTGGCAGGAGCTGGAACTAGAGACGGGAGCTCACCCCGTCATGCGGCACACTCGGGTCTTGCTGAACTACCGACCTTCCACAGCCTGCAGTTCAGCGTCTTAACCACTTGAGCCACTGCAGCTCAATGGACATAAATCATATTTTAAATATCCCACAATATGTACATGCAAAATCAGGGAGGGGGGAAACCCTACAGAACCAAGGACTGAATCTAGCAGAGGGTTTACGCAGGCGTGAGGATTTCCACTTGCTGACTACAAGCTTCTCAGCAATCCCCAAAGCAGTCCCAAATGCCCCTCAAAATTCTGTTCCAGGGGAAGTCCAACCCCAGATGTTGGGGGGGGGAAATGAATCTGTTGACCAAAACTAGGGTTGGCAGGCCCCCCGATCACCAGCAGGGGATGGCAGGGGTACGATTGTCAGATCCAGATTGGAAAACTGGAGATTTGGGGACAGAGCCTGTTAAGGAAATAGAGTCCACCCTCCAAAGCATCCATTTTCTCCAGGGGAACTGATCTCTGTAGTCTGGAGATGAGCTTCCAGGGGATCCCCAGGTCCCACCTGAAGGCTGGCATCCCTAACCAAAACAGAAAGGATCATAAAATGAAACCAGGACCATTTGTTCAGTCTTCCTCGCAACAAATCTAGAAGGTAGGCCAGGCTAAGAGGGAGCAACTCGCCCAAGCTCATTTCCTAAGCTTCATGGCCCAGTGGTGATTTGCACTGGGGTCTTTCCCCACACACACACCAGGGCCACTATGCTGCACTACATACCTAGGATCCGTTGTAAAACGCTGCCTGCTCTTAGGCAATTCCCTCTACAAGTACCAAACAGACTGAAGGGAGTGCAGAGAGATCTGGGCGAAGTCATCATTCTCCTCACCTGCTAGCTCTTGTTTCGTGTTCAGCGAATCCTTCACTTCAAAGTTTGCCATCCATGGCACTTCCGTATTCGCAAACAAACAGGAAGGTCAAACACCTGCACAGGAGCAGCTAGAAAGTGAAACTGGTATTTGCACGGCAACAGTGTTCTGCCACCTAACGTGGCCTGCTGTGCTGCCAACATTCAGGGCTGAATCTTGCACAATCCTGAACTGGAACGCCAGAGATTTTCTGCTAAAATAGGGTTGCCAACCTCAGGTGGCACCTGGAGATCTCCTGCTATTACTGTGGATCTCCAGACGGCCAAGATCAGCTCCCCTGGAGAAAAAGGCTACTTTGGAGGGTGGACTGTATGGCATTGTATCTTATTGAAGTCCCTCCCTTACCCAAACCCCACCCTCCTCAGGTTCCACCCCCAAAATCTCCAGGTATTTCCCAACCCAGAGCTGGCATCCCTACCCTAAAATGTACCCTGGGGAGACCCCAATCTGTATCAAAGATGTTGGGCAAGGCAGGCTTAACTCCCCAAGTGTCAAACTCACTATGCATTTTATGGCTCGTTTGTCATGGCAACCAAGGGGGGAGTGTGGGAGAGTGTGAAACTGAAATAATGCTTTTGCTTTTGCCAGGTTGCTTTGAAGTAGCATGCATCCTTATCACTTCTGAGAACCCAGATGTCCTTGGAACTCAGCTTTCACAGTTTGGCTTCATCTTACACATTGGGGGGATGGCATAGTAAAGGTGGGTTGCTACTGCAATGTTCCCTCTAAGCTGTGGGATTTTGTGAGCAAAAATTCAACTTTGTGACCTACTGGCATTAAAGTTGTGAGCGAGTGATTTCACTACTGCATAAATCAGTTTGCTCTGGAGCCCTCCTTTCTGAGCTGAGACAAAAATGTGTGAGTCGGAGGCTAAAAAACTGTGAGCTAGCTCACACTAACTCACCTTAGAGGGAACACTAGCCATTGGTTTTGGCACTGGAATACTAAGGGGTGATTGGTCCTGC